AAAACATTGTTTGCATTAACCGCTACGAAATTTTGGAGATCTGCAATCATGGCCCCACTCAGGCTAACCTTTAGCTCATTAAACCATTCAAAATTGAAACATATGAGGTTTCAATATGAGGTTTCATATGAGGCTGTTAGACTCATTGATCTCTAACCAGAATAATCACTGTGAAAAATCACATCATGTTTCTGCTGATCTGTTTCATGTTGCTGCTGATCTGTTTCATTATTGATGTATTCATGCGTGCTCATTTGCTCACATAAACACATCTCATGTTTGTGCTTCTGTTCGCGTAATGTTTTTATGCTATTAGTGCTTAATGTAGTTTTAGTTGATGTTTTTCTTAGTTCACATCTTAGATGTTGTCATTGTTTTTCCCTGTGTACATAACTTCGTTCCACCACATGTACCACATGTGGTGCGAACGACAATAAAGAATCTCTGACTCTGACTCTCTGACTCTGATCTACAACAAGTATGATATTATTTGCACATAATTATTCCACTAAATCCCACTCCAAAAAGTCTGACTTCTTCAGGACAACAATTTCTACTAAATAGATTTAGATAAAGCACACCCGTTTTGAAAATGTTTCCAGCTACAAATAACTCACATCTCAATATTTCAAGAGACTTGCAGAGTGATGCCATCATTGTGCAACAAATGCAGAATTTTTTTTTTTAATGATTTAAAAATAACATGAGTAGATGTGTCCAAATGTTTGACTAATGCTGTATATGATACGTACTGACTTTAGTATAATCGTGTCATTAAATCGGGTGCATAGCATTACCCTTGTGACGAAGTCCTGGTAACCCGGGTAATACGTGGTGACGATGGAGAAGATGTACCAGTCATACTCCTCCATAATGTTCAGGATGACAGAAGCCTGCTGCTCGATGGAGGGGCCAAATTGAAAGAACATGGAGTGGTCGTCCTGATAATAGAAACACACACAAAGGAACAAAGACACAACGTAAATGGTCGCACAACAATATTGGCCTGAACTTTAATTTAGTTGGCATCACACACAAAGGAGAACAGTTATGACTTAAAGGACAGCAGCGGTTGTATAACATCATTGGAGCAGACATTAATTTTGCTGCTTTTATTCCTTGGCTCGCAGAGGAGAAAGACGAGAGGACTCTTGTGGAGTTGTAATGATACCGGTCATAATTTTCATTAGTTCCCTTTATGACTCCTTTAATGAGTTTGTGGCTGGAGCACATTCTTTAGACTCAGTGCCGCTGTCCTCTATCTTATCGATGATATTCATCTGTTTGATTACAACCAACAACAAAGCAGTTTCAGTGTTGCCCTTGCAATGACAGATTTATATAGACAAATAATTTATGAAACTAACACACATTTACTCTGCAGAAATGCTACAGAAAATCGTATATGGGATGAACTAAAACCCAGTGTGACCAATAGAGATTGTACACTGATCCAAAATGCATTACGGTCTGACAGAAATCTCAATAAACTTTGCTTAAACCCTGAAATCTAAGCTTGTGTCCTGCTACCAGGGTTGGCAATGGAACATCAAGCAGGACAGAAGAAGAGGAGGAGGTGAGAAATACTCGTCTAGACACGCAGTTCTGCAACATGAGCTTGTTGTTGTGCATGTGTATCTGAGTCATTGTGTGAAAGTCAAACTCCTGTGTACACAATGTACACAGAGTGTTTGTTTTTCCGGAAACGCAACCTAAAAATGTGACAATTTATATGAATGAGAAGGGTTTTTGTGGTTGTGTGTGATTGGTGTTCAACTGCATGACAATAAAATAGGTTGTAAAAGATGGTCAGAGCAGTCGTTGGCAACTTGGGTTGGCCAACGCCACTGCAGCTACCCAAAATTCCAACATACATCCACCTTTATCAGAAAGGTGGAGAACTTGGAGAAGTGGAGGATTCAGGAATGAAAGTCAGCCATAGTAAGACAGAGTACATGTGTGTGAATGAGAGGGAGGCCGGTGGAACAGTGGGGCTACAAGGAGCAGAGGACTTCAAGTACTTGGGGTCCACTGTCCAGGAAAATGGGTGGTGTGGTAAAGAAGTGAAAAAGAGAGTCCAGGCAGGATGGAGCGGATGGAGAGAAGTTTCAGGAGTGATTTGTGACAAAAGAGTGTCAGCAAAGGTCCAAGGACAAGTTTACAAGACAGTGGTGAGACCAGCTATGTTGTATGGTCTGGAGATAGAGACATGGACAAAAAGACAGGAGAAAGAACTGGAAGTAGCAGAAATAAAGATGTTGAGGTTCTCCTTGGGAGTGACAAGGATGGATAAGATTGGGAATGAGATCATTAGAGGTACAGCACAGGTTGAACAACTGGGAGATAAAGTTAGAGAGACCAGACTGAGATGGTTTGGACATGTCCAGAGGAGGGACAGTGGGTATACTGGTAGAATGATGTTAGAAATGCAGCTGCCAGGAAAAAGACAAAGAGGAGATCTATGGATGCAGTTAGAGAGGACATGGAGTTAGTTGGAGTGAGGACAGAGGATGCAGAGGACAGAAAGAGATGGAGGAGGATGACACTGTGGAAACCCTGAAGAGGGAAAAGTCGAAAGAAAAATAATAAGTCATTTGGGACCTTTATTTATTTATTTACCATCCATCTGTTATCTTTACCCGCTTCTTCCTTTTTGGGTCGTGGGGGTCGCTGGTGCCCATATCCAGCAGTCACTGTGTGAGAGGCGAGCGACACCCTGGACAGGTCTCCAGTCCATAGCAGGGACACAAAGAGACAAATGAGACAAACAACCATTCACTTTCTCACTCACACCTAGGGACAATTTAGAGTTACCAATCAGCCTAACATGCATGTTTTTGGGTTGGCCAACAATATATATATATAATAATAGGAAGAAGTTGTTAGCAAAAAGCAAAAGGTTAATGTGTGATATTGTCACATTAAGTTCAACCAAGAACAGCACGATGGCTCAGTGGTTAGCACTGTTGCCTCATAGCAAGAAGGTCCTGGGTTCAAACCCTGGTTGGACCTGGGGTCTTTTTGTGTGGAGTTTGCACGTTCTTCTTGTGCATGTGTGGGATTTCTCCAGGTACTCCGGTTTCCTCCCACAGACCAAAAACATGCATATTAATTGGTAATATTAATGTCTCTAGGTGTGAGTGAGAGTGTGAACTCTTGTGGGTCTTGTTTGTCTCTATTGTTCCTTTTCCACCGGCTCAACTGGAGCTTTATTTACTCACCCGAGCTTTCACATGGGCCGAGTCGAGCTGAAGCTTTGATATCATCAGACTGCAGGTCTGACTGCATCCACCATAGTTAAAACCTTAAAACCTCATTACTGCCACATTCACTTTGGTTATTTACATTTTAAATAAAATATACAATATATTCATTAAAATGGCAACACATGAACCATGGCGCTATGAGGAGGTGCAGATGTTCCCATGCTTTCCCATACCAGAATTCAGAGGGAGCTAAACTAAACGGACTCTATTTACAGGTTCCTGCGCTCAGAGGGAATGTGACTTCGACTCAGCTAAAACATTTTTGGCCACTCAGTTATAGACTGTGTAGAACAGAGTTGGGTTGACTGGGAATGAAGCGGGTCATACTGAGACTGGACAATGGAAAAATGGGCGAAACCCTCTTCTCTCATGTTGACAACTAGAAATAGGCACCAGCTTTTCACAACCTTGGAACCATTTGGATGTACTTGAGGGTGGCTGTGGCTGAGTGGTTAGAGCAGTCGTCCTCCAATGCAAGAGTTGGGGGTTTGAATTTACCAGCATTGCCTCCGATGCGTGTCCCATCGATGTATGAATGTGATCTAAAGCACTGATCAGTCTTTGTATTGATCTAGTAGAGTGCTGTATGCATGGGTAAATGAGGGCACAGATTGTGTTGTAAAGTGCTTTGAGTATCTTGATCACTCTACAGGTATTTTTCAGTACCTGTAGAAGGAGTGGTGAATCATAACGGTAGATTAACAGTCCAATATTAATAAGGATGCTTCACTGATTATGCATCACCATGTTTAACTAGAACATATATTCTAAAAATGAGCGCAATGCGCTGCATGTGTAAATTAGAAAAGTGAAAGAAAAATGGAAAATGAGGGAATAATGACGTTTGTATCGATGTTGTATTATGTGCCTTTGATATCTTGAATGCAAATATTGCTCCAGTCTTTGCCTCTTCTCTCTTCCTTCTCTTATATCCCTTCATACTTCATCTATCTCTATCTCTGCTCTTGCTCTGCTGTCCCATTAATACCACTGGAATCACTGCCAGGGCAGAGTTTTAATTGAATTTCCAGACTCGTACTGTCCCACCTCCCCCTTTTATCCTCTGCAGAGCACCCATGTCACTGTGCACCCCACCTCACCATTTCCTCTGGCATCCTCTCCCCCATATCTCTTCTCATAAGAGCGCTATTAAAGTACTGTCCAAGTCATTCCAGGGGGCTGCAGAATTTCCATTAGCCTCCGAGAAAAGAATGTGCGAAAAGAAAATGCACAAGTGTAAAGAAGCAGTCAGGGACTGACTTAAATGAAGTGCTGCAACACACTGTTCTTCATTTACAGCTACAACAATTAGGGTTTGGTCACATTATCACCTCTGTTGGCACCAAGTGATCGATTAGTGAGTATTAAAATTCCCACAGGGGGTAGAAAGGCCAGTGAGTCAGTCAGCCAGACACAGGAAGCCAGCCAGCATCGCTTTGAATGTGCTGCTGAGCCGCTCGCTGTCTTCTCTCTGGTTGCACTGCTGACGTCAGCGCTGGCTACTGTACACAGGCAATAACACGCTACAACAAACGAAACAGAATGGCAGGTAGAGATGAGGGTGAGGACAGAGAAATACAGCGAAGGGCCGTTAAAAAACGAAAACTGTGGAAAAGGGGTCAGATAAAAGAATCAAAATAAACCAAAGGGAAAGACAGAAATGAGCCAAGCTAGAATTAAAAAAACAACAACAGAGTTTTACCCCAAAAAAAAGCAGATTGGATGAAGCTAAAGTCCAAAGCCTACAGAGGGGCAGCTGCAGAGGACAGTGTGGTGACAATGGGATGAATGGAGGAGAGGAGGCCATGCTGGCAGATGGCTGTGATCCTGCACGAAGCGAGTGAGCAGGGAAGGGGGCAGAAAGCCAGGAGTCAGAGAAGGAGCAGGCAAACATAGGAGTGTGTTTGTCCATGTGTGTGTGTGTGTGTGTGTCAGGCAGACGGCCAGTCATTTACTCAAGGAGGAGGCTAAGCCTGAAATCCTCCGCCACAGAGGACGACTGCTGTCAGAGAGGGGAAGACACAGCCGAAACGTTGGTGCTCTTCTCTGCAGGAAACGATGATGTTTGTGTTTTGTGGGGGGATGTTTCTCTTTGTGTGATTCAACATGTCTCCAAGCTTCTATGTCATTAGTAAGTCTGAATTGATCCATATGTGTGTGTTGGTGCATCTGAAGTTAGTGTGTGTGCATATGCACCTGTTCCATGGTTGGTGGCCTACGGAGCACCGTAGCTGCTTGCTCTGCCCCAGAGCCTCTAAATGAGTGCAAACACACAATCCTGAAGCAGTTATTTGACTTGAAGGGTAGAGAAAGTCAATAACTCAAGTATTTCAATTACACACACAGGGGCACATCGGTGGCTGCAAGAGGAACTAAAAGAACCGCTTCCACTCCTGCTCTGAGACACACACACTCACATTTGAATAGTTTCAAACACAAACATCTTCTCAGACACAAAAATACGTTTGCACACACACACACACACACAGACCCACAGCTGTGGCACTAGTCAAACACACAATGTGAAACGTGGAGCGACCAATCATGCGCTTTATAACGCTTGCACGCTTGTAACGATGCAGTAAAACACCATGAGGCGCGTTGCTTAACAGGAAAGTGCATCGTACAGCGATTGCATAATGCACATAAACGGGGAAGATGGGACCGCACAGGTCAAGAGAAAAAACATTTGCGCTTTCGTTTCCCTGCGTTCTGTGCACGTCTGTTTAAATGTCACAACAGAAAGTACGTCTGCACGGTGTCATTATTCCAAAAAAGTACAACTCCTCTGGGTTTCAGAGACACTTAGATGAAATTATACAAATACAGCAGGAGATGCTTATGGTTAAAATGGACTTTTAATATAATGTAGAATAATGTGCTTAATGTGCGGGACAGGCCAGTCTCGGGCTTTGATGTGGTTTTACAAATTATACAGCACAAATAAAGCTAAATAAGAATGCACAGTATACAGTTGTGTTAATCTACTTAGAGGAGGAGGCAGGTCCGACCGGCCGGTTTAAAGAGGTAAAATAAAAGTCCAGTTAATCTCAGATGGATCAGCCGATCACCGGCTGCACGCTTCTCCACACCTGCTGTCATCTGCGGTGAAGGAAGTATCTGAAGCTACAAAAGCTGAAGTGAGCAGTGCGTTCAATTAAAATAGACGTTCTATATTTTTCCAAATTATTTTGGTCTAAAAATATTTTTGTTCATCTCAGCCTATTTTTAGAGTTGATTTTTTTTTTAGGTTATTTGTTTTGTATGTTAGTATCCATTTGGTGAAACAAGAAATCTTACATCTTCCTTTCTTTTAAATACGTTTTTAAGATATCATGTCAAATTGATTTGCTTACAAAAACAGTAAAAGTTGAATATAAAAAAATGCCAGTTTTTTTTTTTCGGGTTCGGGCCTGTAATTACATTTTATTTGTCGGTTTCGGGTCATGCTGGGAAAAAAATGATACAGGTTCGGGACAGTACGGTTTTTTTTTAAGTCCGAATGCAACTGTACTCACTAGTATGCACTGAATATTCAGCTACATGTCACATTAATTTCTTCTGCACACTATTTTTTTTATCATCTTGTGTTTATAGTAATACTGGCTGACTCACTTTATAAAGAAAGAACCTTATAATGAACAACAGTGGACAATTTAAGCACAGTTATGCTTTTCTTTATGTTTTTATTTTAGTTTACGTCCTGTTTTATTTTGGTAGATCCTGTTCTCGTCAAACCTAGCTTCTGTTGGTTAAATGCTGCTCAGCTGTAGATAACACTCAGTATCAATCCCACCTAGTTTCACCAGCTTTTTGTCTGACTGCTTCCCTTGAGATCAGTTTTTTACCAGTTTCTGTCCAATCAAGTTCAGATTGTCCTGCTTGTGTTGTCCACCTGTTTTTGCTTTATTTCATATTTAATATAACATCTCTTACCAACATTAGTCCTGCACTTTGGGTCCTTTATTTTGAGAAAAGTACGCATAAATATGTATGTTATTTATGCATGTTAGGCTGATTGGTAACTCTAAATTGTCCCTAGGTGTGAGAGAGTGAATGGTTGTTTGTCTCGTTTGTCTCTATGTGTCCCTGTGATGGACTGGAGACATGTCCAGGGTGTCCACCACCTCTTGCACAGTGATAATTGGACATGGGCACTAGTGACCCCCACGAACCGAAAAGTAAGGAGTGAGTAAAGATAATGGATGGATGGATGGATGGATAGATGGATGGATGGATGGATGGATGGATGGATGGATGGATGGATGGATGGAAAACTCTTTTTAAATAATCATAAACCACATGTACTTAACATGAACCTCTATCCTCCAGGTGTTTTCAAGATGTACATGTATATAATTTGAATGAAGCTTTAAAAAAAGACTTGAAGTAACATTTATTTGAGTAAATATTCTATGCCGGCAAAATACTATGATTTCATAACATCTGGATAAATTGGTCTGTTCACATGGTTGCTTGCAATGTTCTCCAACAGCATTTACTGTGCAGAAATAAGAAAAGTATTATTCTAGTTTGCATTGTTCAAGGCATTTAGGATGATTATCTATGCTGAGAACTAAACAAATCCATAAATGATATCAATCTGATTCGATCCCAAAAACAAAACGCTTTCAGTGACAATTTTGATTTTGGAATATTTTGCTGAACTTTTTGGGCCATTTCACAACACAGGTTTTGTTTTGATTGTGCAATAAAAAAAAATGTAAAGACTGATTCAGGTAGTCAAAGAGGTCCAATGGAGTTTGTTGCCGGGAGGCTTTTTGGCAATGCATATTTCTATCCTGCCTATAAAGGATCCTTTGAACTTGAACGGGCGGGTTGTTGCTATTGACTGCTGCTGCACCGCCGGATGGAAAGCAAAGCCAGCCAGTGAGAGAGAGCGAAAGAGAGACACTGAGAGCCAGAGAAAAGAGGATGGAGGGATGATAAAAGAGAGGGCTGCAGTGGGAGGTGAGGAGAGAGGAAACAGCTGGCCTTCGCTTGAATGTAGTGAATTTGAAAGACGGTGGGAAGGAGATATAAACTCGCCACAGCCACAGGCGTTCACGCTCTGACTCACAGCAGAAAAGGATATAAGCGCACACACATCCACACGTTCATATCTGATGAAGCCTCTAAGCTGAAAGTCGCCATTACCACATGCTCTGAAATTACGTATTGATAAGTCCTCCCCTCTTCTCTTCCCCACTTTTTTCTCCATTCTGTCGCTCGCGCTTTTGAACGTCACTGACAGGCAAACACACACACGCAATTATCTCTACCTCAATTAAACCTCCCCTCACTCTCCTGTTCCCTTCTGCTCCACTCTTCTCATCATCACATCTCTTATCAAGGAAGCCTACTTATCTTTAATCAAACACATACAAGCTTAATTAGCTTCAACGTTTGTCAAAGCATCGTCTAATTAGCAGTGACCTTTTTAAGTACTTCTTAGTCCTAATTAAAAAAGGGACATGTCTTTGTTAAAATATTTGACTAAAATTTGCCCCAACATCATTTTGATAGCAAAGTGACTTCCCTAGTATAACCACATGCCTGCAGGTATTAAAAGGATGGAAAGACAGGAAGCAAAGAAGAAAGGAGCAAATTAAACTGAACAGGAGATGCAATGTAGTGAAACTGTTTTCTATTTCACACCTTGTGCTAATAAGACAGTGTTCAACTCAGGCAGAGACACATAAATGCACCGATTGTTCCTCTTTGGCCCATTTCTGCTCTAAGTTTAGCAGAGGACCCACTGAGGGGCCACTGCAATCTGATGCATTCCCTGCTGCTGCTTATGTTTGTCCCCGGGTCCTTGTAGAATGGTATTGTTTCTTCTACAGCTAGGCTAAAGAGGCTAAACAAAGTGGCTGCAGAGAAGGCAGAGAGTAAAAAGATGATCTGGATTCAGGCTTTTCTGTGTGAGATCCTGGAACGCAGCTGAGTGAAGTTAAATACATACATCTGTATTGAATGTTTTTGCTAGCTATTAGAGAATAAAAATGACATAGCTTGAGATTAAACTCCACAGGTTGTGCATGTAGTTTTGTGGATATTGCTCTTTTTAGGGAAACTAAAGCAAGATCACATTTTCAGAGTCAGAGATTCTTTATATGTGGTGGAA